AGGTGAGTGCACAGGCGCCTCCGGCCCGTGCCTGAAAAACACACTGGGCCAGACACGCGCGACCACTCCCGAAAGCGCCACGCTCCAGCGCCATCTGGTATGGAACGCCGAAATTAAGGTGGGCCACTCATTAAGCTTGTTTTTCTCTCGGCTTATTTCCGGTTAATTGATTGCGGCGGCCGAGAAGTGCGGATGATAGGTCTGGGACCTCCCAGAGCTAGCAAATGGCTGACCAGCGCAGCCGTTATGGCGTCTTCGGTTATTATACGTACGGTAATGGAGCTGTCCGTACTTCTTAATGAAACGACTCCTTCTTCCCTCCGCTAATGGGTTCTGGTCCTCTGGCCAGTCATGTCCGGCCGGTCGCCTTCCCAAATGATTTCTCCAACTTCGTAATCCCGCACCTACAGCGGGTGTCTAGCACCCGGAGTGCAACTGCAACTTCTTCCCCCCGCATTTTCCGACCAATTACACTTTTATTCCGCTCTCGGTGGGCTCCGCGGCATACTTTCTATCAAAGATTCGAATCCTCACCGGACCCTGATTTATTGCCCATTGTTACAGCTTTAACTTCTTTCTCGCTCGTCTGTTTCGGTCCAACTGGCCAAATAAAACTCTTAAAGACCATTTTCTCTTTCCCCTGTGGTTTCTCCATAGCAGTAGAAACGGCGGCAGCCTCGAGATTTTTACCTTTGGTAATTTGAATTCCCGACTTGAAAGATTATGTTCTAACTGCTTAATTTGAATTTGTATCGAGCCTCTAGTTTCAAATGAAACTGGCTCTCATCAGTCACCTTGAAAGACACGCAGACGCCTTTATGCCGATATGGGAAAGTGTCTCGAAAGTCTTCATAAATCAGTAAGATCTAAAATGAAAATTAAAGAGTCTTACATTAATTACCCTCTTCTTTTTCAATTATTTTTTAGAAATGTCTACCATCGCAGCTTCTTTCGACACGTCTTCGGTTCGAATCACGTCAATGACATAATAGAAAATAAATTTATTAGAATGTGAAAGTATGTCTAATTGAATGACTGCATTGTGTGTTAATTTTGTTTTACGTCACGTGTCCCCGATTTGCTCCACATGCAATCACGTGATGGCATACAGAAAAGTAAATTCTACTCGTCTGATTTTTGGGCCGCAGCGTGCGTAAATTCGATAAGATTAAAAAGTTCTTCCCCTCTCTTTAAAATTGTGCACACTTTATTAAACAGCCACGTGATTTCGGCGAAGCTTTTCTTTGGCGACCCTTTGGTAGGGAGGGTCAAACGGCCGCTCCCTTTAAGGGTGTGGGTGCAACTACACCACAAACAAACCCTTTCTTCGCAATAAAGAAAGAGAGAAGGGGCCTTGCCGGGGAAATGGGGGATGCCCCTCACCCCACAGTCAAGTCACGATGTATGCGGGGGTGGAGTGGCCCCAGGGGAGAACGTGAGGCCCCCACACCCATCCGGGTTCGAGCTATTGTTTTGGTCAGCTATGAAAATGGGGAAAAAAATGAAACCGTTTCGTAGAGTCAAGGTCCCGTTTCGAATTAACCTCGTCAACAGGAAATAAGAATTGTTTTGCTTTCCCGTAAAATTTTTCGAAAAAATTATTCCGCGCATCGAGGTCATTAAAATTCGAAATAAAGCACGATCGGAGGCTCGACGTCGCCACTGGATGTGGCCAAATACGAAATAAATATAGGATATCGATCAATCGGAGAAGATAAAAAACAAAATCTACACGGGGAAACGGTGCAATAAAAAAGAGCGACGCAAATAATTTTTGTTGATAGAAGAAAAAAATTCGAAAGCGTAAATAATTTTAATTTCTTTAATTTCCTGAGTCATTTCCTGGCGAAAAAGCGTCCTTGGTCCTCGTCTCGGTAGAACAAAAATGTTAGAAATTTGTGCCTCTTTTTCGCCTGGTCTCTCCTAGTATCCCCGGGGGTGCCTCTCTCCGCTTTTGTTTTACTCGCCGCCCAGGCCTTAATGACTGCTAATGTTTCCGCTGGGCCCCCGCAGATGGCGAGGCGGTCTTCTAATTATGTCGTAATGTGCCACTGTCGCCACTTGCTTTCCCCTCTCTCTTTCTCTCCCGCCTCCCCCAGGATTTCAGATAAAACATCCTCTCTACTATCACGTGATTCGGTTGACATATTCAATCTGATCGCGTGTCGTCTTCTAAGAAATCACAAGTTCTATTCTTAACGGAGTAACCGCTAATTCAGTTCACTGGTGGATTGTGTTATTATGTTTATTATCTGATGACTAATTACGCGATCAAGATTTTTAAAATAATTACGCATTCATTAATTAAATGTACACATCGTTATATATCATATTATAACCTTCTATTCTTTACATACAAGTCAATTGAATTAAACCATTCTCGTACATCTGCCATAACGCGGTAGGGATCCGTATGCCGACGCTTTAGAAGGAAAGAAATTCAATTAAGAAGTGATGATACGGGCTGAGACACTTCCTACATTCTAAGTTCAAAGGTCAGGAGGAAGAATCGCCATACCTGTTATAAGCATTAGGGGGCGTATTCCGACGTCGCGTCACGAGGTCGCATCACGTTTTCACGCAAACCTGTCACGTTCGGGTCGCTTTCCCACGTTCCACTTTCTGGCTGGCTTTCCATAGGTGGATCCCGTTTGTACCCGGAATAGGCTTAGCTTCTGTCGAAGAACGTGAACGCCCTCGCTGGTCCGAGAATGTGCAAATGACGACTTTCCCATCGATAGACCACATTGGGGGGATTTCCCGCCTCCACCCAAATGCACCACAATTAAATTCATTCTGTTTCACAGCGAATTTTCAAAATTACAAGTCCAGCAAAGTTACGTGATTGTCAGGGTTCTTCCCATCGTATATCATCCCGCTTGCCCTTATTATCTCGGTAACCCGATTTCATTTTTATATTTAATAAAAATTCCAACAATCACTTCATACGAAGCTAAACTTGTAAAATTTTTCTAAAACACAAAATCCACTAATTTAATTATTAATTTCCTTTGCTCCTACAGGATAGGGTGGCTGCATTTTCATTTTCCTATCGCGTTAAAGCTTAGAACAAAACGAGGAAAGTCATTCGATATCGTTAAACTCCTACAATATACAATAAATTTCCACCGATTCTACCAATATAGGCATGACTAATCCATTGTCTCGGTGTATACCTATACGTATTTAGGCCAAGGCATCAAGGTTACCCCGGGGGCCGAAGATGCCATCAGTTAAGTACGCCAACTAAAGGCATAGACAAGTTACCATTAGACCATCTGACCATTAGACTCAAAGGATAAATATTAAAATATATTTAAATCGATTTTTATATTAATTTCGTAACTGTATGGCCATCTGTAAATTACATGTAAGTGAGTAACTGGTTAATTAAAGAAAAAAAAAAAGGTCTTTCTTGCTCGGCGATTGCGATGATTGTTAATTAAAAATCTATCGAGGATTTGAGAACGTCATTGGAAGGGGATTTTAACCTTCTCGGAGTTGTAAGGATAAGACGTCGATGGCACCCGATCCCAGTTTAACGGGAAATCCCTGACGTGCCTTCAATCTGGATAAGAGCGAGTGCGTCCGTCTTCATCCGGAGAATGAATTCCCGGGGTGCACCACCCGCGGTGGCGGCTAATGACCGCGTGTTTTGTGGGCCGCAGAACAATCAGAAAGAAGAGGAAGAAACGTTTTTGGCGTTTTGTAGAGGAATAGTGTTGGCAGTCGGCAAATCTACCGGTCCCCCGGAGGATTTTCACTAGAACTGAAATTAAGCTCCGCACTGCCCTATCATTTGTCATCTGTTCTATCCGCCACTTCTGTTGCACAGAAGCTCCGCCAAATTCTATTTTCGACGCCGGCCCATCCATCAACCAGGTCCATCCTCACCCTCTCCGGACTGGGATTTCTAGCGCCGTATCATCTCTTAAAACAGACTCGCTCTTTCTGACCCTCTTTTAGTTTGCGGCTGGGCGGCGCGTCAGAGGCGGCGGGCCGTGTCGCTTTTTGGGGTCGGCAACACCGCAGCTCGTCTCCCGTGTCCGAGACTGCCGTTAAGTTGTGCTACAATACAATGCCACGCGTGCAAACGTTGGAGCGCACGTCGTCATGTGGACATTTTCGTCTATTTCTCACAGAAAGCCGTTGGAGGAAAGTAAAATTCCAGTTTAGAGTAATGGCGACGGTAATTGTAAGAGAAATGTTTTGAACGAATCCGGAATACTTTGGAACTTTTTAATTAAGATCGGCCGTAACTTTCAATTCTGACTACTCTCCACCCGGCCAAAGTGAGTTCTCCCTGACGTCACATCCTTCTCTAGATGGTGAGAATGACGAAAAAAGTTGGACGGCCACCCCGCAGGCGGGGAGGAGTCTATGTTCACGTGACTGGCAACGCACGAACGAGTGCCGGTAGGACGTGACCATACGAGGGGGAGCTGCGGTGTCCGGTCTCAGACAACAGGTGTCGCTGCCGGCAGTAGTATTCAGTGCGGTACCGGTCATCAGACAGGCCAGTGGATGACAGGCCAGACTCAAAAGGATACACTCGCGCGCCTGTCCGCCGTCCCAGCGTCCAGGTGAGTGGTTTGTTTCGTTTGTAGCTTCGCGCGCGCGCAATGGAGATGCCGCCGTGACATGCGCATCTTTGTGTGTGCCGATAGAGTTTTTCGGCCGAAGAAAGGTGGATTGTGGCATGGGGCGCCGTGTGTGTAGACGGGCGCATTAGCCAGTTAATGGTTTTCCCCTCAGCCATGAAATAAGTCGCTTAACTCTCTTCGCTATTCCGGTTACCTACACATCAACCCAACCGAAACGGGCCGGCGCGTCTCGCAAACTGCGTAGCATCCTAACCCGTCGATATACTAGCGCGGCACACAACGGGACCTACATACGGGGTAAATAAACAATTTGGCCTACAAACCCGCCCGTGGGAATAATAATAATAATAATGCACCGTTTGTCACGTGACAACAGTGCAGGCACGCATGTCTTTCCCCCTCGACCACCCGTCGAACACGACGGAGGTCGTCCAAGCAGAAATAAAGCTTTCTCTGTCGGATTTCTAATCGCAACACTAATTCTCATTGTATATCTCCTTTCCAATTAATCCAAAGTTTCGCCCGGCAATTGTTCTATTTCGGATCAATTGATATCGCGGAAAATCTACAGAATTGGCCCAGTTGTGTACGTCGATTCTTTTAGGACTGAATTACAGACAGGCCAGAATGAAAGACCTTCAGTAGGTGCGACCAGAGAAGTAAACTAATAAGAATCCTCGCAGGGTTTCGATAAAGTTTGGCCTAAAGCTTTCATTTTTAAGCGGGATGATGACGCTTAATGGGGATAATGAGATCTTTGATAATTAAGAGCCCTTAATTCTGCTAATCCCCGCGTTTCTGCCTGAATAATTTCTATTAGGCATCATTTTTCTCGCATCAGGGCGTCCGAGCAGATTAGGATCTATTGTGTGACGAAAATTGACCACATTTTGTATCGCATAATTGGCTTATGAGGTCTGCTGCTTTATTTTACTGGTTAAAAGCATAAAGCTCTTTTTTTACCTCTTGATCTTTCTTAACTTTCTCCTCCCGGCTGACGTTTAGTTAGCATTTACATTCGAAATCCCAATTTAAATAATTTGTTACCTATTTAATTATTTTCAGACAAATGCAATGAGAAAGAAACTCAGTTTTTCAATTTTCATCATATATATGATCTTATCAAACATAACACGAAAGTTTTGAACAAGTAGGTTTTCTTTTACGTACAGTACAATACATATACAGTATATTTTTACCGATAGATGTGATGTATCACTAAAGACTTACTGATGTCAGTATATCTTTAATGATTCAATACTGGTGTTTTTCAGATTGTAAAACTTCTTATTTCTTACAGATTGTGTTCCCTATCTGGAGCATTGTCTCACCCTTCACCAACAAGCTATGCGAGCTCAAGACGTGGAATTGGAAAATCAAAGGCTCAGAGAATCCCTAAGCAACTACTCTCAGGAATTAGACGAAGTAAAAAATCAAGGTGAGTGTCCTTTTTACTCAATGTTAGAAACTTTTGCTCGAGATAGACACCGATTAATGCTAAGCGCTAGTACAGATGGCAAATAGATGGAAGAGCTGGTTTTTGATTTGGTTCTATCTGAATTAGTCAGACAAATGTCACTTAAGAGCATCAGATTCGGCGATTGTGTCAGGTAGTTTGTCTCTCGGTTGACAGATGGCGACATATATGATGTTCTCCTGTTGCATTACTCACTTTTTGATGATGAAGCAAATCCGTCCGAGTGCTACTCTAGCAGTTTCTCTTTCCTATTCCACAATTATTTAACCAAAACTGCCAGCAACTCGTTTTTCATTTTAATTGATTCGTATTCCGCCAAGTTCGTAAAGAATATACAAAGAAACGGCGGTTTTCGTCTTTTTTTCATTAACTTAAAAGAGGGGAATCGTGTGTGGTTCTAAAGGACGGATTTCGCCATCTCTATTCAACCGCGACGACAGATAAGATGTGCGGAACGACATCCTTACGTAACTCGACACTTAAGCCAATCAAGGCCGCATTGCCACTATAGATTGAATTGGCCGCACTTCAGGTGAGAAAGACTTTCTTCCCGTCCCGGACAGAATGTGGGACCACACGCGAGAGCTGTAGGGACAGTCCGCTTCAATTATCATTAATTGATTCTATTGTTCCGTCTGACGTCTCTATAGAAAAAGGGAGGACGAAAGCTCCTCTATTCTCTAATGACTGCTTTATTTCCATTGGCATCGGTCTGCATAATGGACCTTAACGGATGGCTGCCGCTGGCCTTAACCTTTCGAAATCTAGAAACGGTCACCAGACATTAATTGACACTTGGAGAATTCCATAAAGAATTTATCTAGAAAAAAAAATAAAAATAAAATAAAATGCGAGATGAATGGGATTCCGACGAACATCGGTTAACGGATCCAAAATACAGGTTTGGATAGAAGTTGCGAGTAGCCCGACATAAGCAACAATGCGCGGTATTGCGAAACCCACTCGACCGTCCATAGCCATATATCTGTCCTCCGCCCTGTCGACGATTAGTTACGTCTGGTTTGGTGCCTCTACCTGGAAAGCCTAGCGGATGTGATGTCATTAGGCGTGAACGGCGGCTAATCCACAGCCATTTGCCACCGATGCGGGTCGGATTCGGGTGCGGTGGCCCGCTGCGGAATCCGGAACGATTTTAAATTTCCGAACTGCAAACATTTGTGAAAGGAAGAGGCGCTTCATTAGGCAGAGAGGAAGACCAGTTCGGAAGTGGAAGATTTAAACTGTGACCGGATGAGAGCCATTAAGTCGATATCGGCCGGACCGCCTCGATTAACCGTCTTGACCAATGAGTGGACCAGTTTTTCGTCTTGCCTCTAGGCAAAAAAACTGATAACAAATCGTAAACCAGTATTCGATCATTTGGCCCTCCCATCGAATAGCGAATTACCAAACCGAGCACGTGTCGATTAAAACATCGGCAAAGGATGGAAATGGCTTTCTTTTAGCTTCTCCTTTCTAATTATCCACTGAATAAGAAGAAACGGTAAAAATGCCAAAGCGCTTTTTCGCCAAATGTCATCCTCACCGGATGAAAAGCTAATCAGTGGTTTACCCAGGCCGCAGCACGTTGCCATGGCGATCAACAGCTGGAAAAAAGTCCCGAAAGATTCTCCCCTTTTCTTTACGCCGCCAAACACTTTCCGAGTCCAGAACATTCTCTACTCATTCAGAACTTGTTCGTTGGATTCACAATCTTCTTTTCATTCAGGAGTAATTTCTAGTGAATAAAATACAAGTGGACAAATTCCGAAAACTCGGAGTCACCCTTGAAAAATAAAAAAAGAGCAAACATTCTCGTTTTAAAAGTGAGGATATAGGATTTGGTCCACAAATCCGGTCGGCAAACTCGCAAAAAGGAGGAGGGAGAAAAGGCGAACAGGCCATTAATTACCATCTAATGGCCTTTATTGTAAGAAATGTGACCCAATAGCGTCCTTGAGCGCCGATTGGTCGTTCCATTGATTTATTATGTTGACCGTAGCTTATGGACGGCCCGTTATGTAGCGGCCTTGATTTATGCGGCTCTTTCCACTCCGCTTCGGTCCACCCATAAAGATCAATAATCGGTCAAACGAGCACGTTTAATGGGGCATCGGAGCCCGAAAACCTTGCTGCCGAGACGCAACAGCTGTCGTCCGGCGATTAAGTCCTGTTTAAGTAGGATTACGGCCATTTAATAGAAGGCCTCTACATTCTGACAGGCTCTACTGATAATTTGAGGAGAAATAAGCCTTTCTCTCTTTATTCCTCACCTAAAAACAAAGGCCTATACGCGAAATATTCGAACCTTCCGAACTTCATAACCGAACAAAATATTGTTTACACAATCCTAAATAGTTTTTTAAGATTAAATAAATTCGTGTAAAGCAAGACTTTCGAAGGGAGAAAACACGTCTAAATATATATTACAATTCCTTCTTAGAGAAGATCCGTGCAGCGTGTGGCATCGTTTTCAACGTCGCTTGCTCTTTCTTTTTTAAAATATTTTTCTTGTTGCAAGATTTCAATGAAAAAATGCTATCGTATACCCATTAATTTTTAATTGAAAGTGATTTTCTAATGAATACAAAATCAAAATATTAATTTAGTCTCACAGTTTTTGTTCGTAAGGTGTCAAAGTATCAGATTCTTCTTAAAAATAAAATGTTTTTATACAATATTTTAAAAATGATGATAACTTAAATTAATTTTCATCGGATTTAGCGGTTAAATATATAATGGAAACGTCGGCCTAAGATAACAGTAGTCGGGCCTAAGGCCCGGGAAAACGGGATAGATTGATAGGAAGGACACGAAAAGGCAAGATTTTAATTTCTCTTGCATCGTTAAGCCTTTATTAGAGAGGAATTGATGCTAAGAAGGCACTCGGTCGGAAGTCGTAAAGCAAAGACTATAATAAGAGGCTAAGTATCAAATTAACTAGCTAGAAGTATTTTAGGATTAGAGCTTCTCGGACCAAAAGTCGATAAAAGTTCTTCAATTAAAATGCGTGAATCTCCAATTAGGGCCCGAATACTGAAGGGTGTAATAACCTAAGATTAAAAATAAATTATCCTCTCTCTCTCTACTTAACTAAATTGAAAATGTTATCCTTTTTCTTTCTTTATTACAAAGAGAAAAAAAAAATATATGAATAAAGGCCCTTGTTTGTTACAAAGAAACAAAGTTAACTTAATTTGTAATACTTAAATTTTCCAAATTCAAATCTGAAGAGTAAACTTTTGATACGATCCCCGATACGAAAAGATTTTTCCACGTAATATTTAATATAATTAGATCTAAAAGTATATATGACTACTAGTTAAAAATATAGTTTTTAGTGTGTCCAGTGATGAAAAATAAGAGTCTACTATCTCCCCCTCGTTTAAAGCCGTAAATCTATCTTGTTTTTTCAGCTGGGTTATTGATAGGAAAGATGTTAAATGTCGGGAATGTGCAAATGTCCATTCTATCCTCTTTTAGCTTCTGAAAATAAAATGGGCTTTCCCATTCTAAACAAACACCAATCATTGTGGCACCTGTGTAGCGCGACGACCACGAAACAATGACCCTCTGCTTGATAAATGGGAGAGTGAGGCAGTAGATTTTTCTGATTTTTTTTTTTTTTTGTTGACAAGATTTCTTTATTTGAGCATTTCGAATTTTACGTGAACCTTTTTTCATTACAGAAGCAACGATTCAGGAATTGAGAGAGAAGCTGAGGGAATACGAACAAAAAGTTGAAACATTGACTCAAGTAAGTAATCTTTCAAATAACAACATAAATAATTAATTAACTGATATGTTATTATTGAGTTACTGAAAAATTAAGTTCGGAGTCTATATAATGTCTAGGTGATGTCATTAAGGGTGTAGATGAGGTAGTAAAATAACGTAACAATGACATCATCCGGTGGCATTCCAATAACTTTTGTAGGCATTTTAAATTGCAAAGACCCAAAATGTTAAGTATTTTCACCAATATAAAGAAATATTTCGAAATTTTTCTGTCAAATTTAATGGAATAAATACTTTTAAATGCTCTTTCAATGATCGAGATCTGTATAAAAATTGTAATTATCCTCCAACATCCTCATGCTAACATTTCCTTGCGTGATGTTTGCATAACCATTGTGATTCACCGTCTCATGATGCATTTTACGCCGTCATCATGACGTGAAATCGCTTACGAGGAAGCAGACGTAATATTAGATTCTTGTTTCTTTCCTAACTGTTAACGTTACGATACTTTTTATAAAATGAAGCTTAATCCCTTGCAGATTATTTTCGATTTACAGGCTCGTTAAAGGCGAGAAATAATTGTATAAATGACGCGAACATTTTAAAAACTCGACTATATAGACAATTCGAAAAAAAAAATCAATAGGGAAATTATAAATTGCCTAGAGTCGCGCCTGTAGGCCGGAAAAAGTAGAAGGCAAGACAGCGCGTGCCGTAGCAGTTAGAATACGATCCGGGGAAGAAAAAAGCAAATTATCAGGAAGCAACTCTGGTTTGAAACAAACAAACAAACAGAAGAAAAAGTTTTGCATTTTTCAACCTCCGACTCTAATCGGATTTAAAGAAACGAGCGGACTACACCCCAGAGATTTTTTTAGCGAAGAAGCGTAGAATAAAGTGGATAGATCCAGGACAGAGAGAGCTACCTGAGGTGAGAGAAGCACGACTAGTCAAATCGCATCTGTATACTGGAAGCGGGAGGGACGACAAAAAAAATGTACGCTTTTTTTCTTCGCCCCTCCAATGCATAATTAAGAGAGGGATCCGTAAAAGTAAAGCAAAAGGCGTCGTTCTTTGAATTCATAAATTCTGCATTTCTCTTTCTCTCATTGTCTTATCCGCATCCGAAAGAGTCGGGACCGACTTTACTTCATATTGAAATTTTTATGACTGACCAGAACTGCTTTCGGAGCCCGCTTTACTCTACCGCCTCTTTATATAGATATATAGGTTATGTGCGGGATGTGGTGCGGGGATTAACCGTGTTTTATACCCGGTTTGGGACCGACTGTCACCACAGGTAATTGTGATTGAGGTATAGCGAGCCAGGTGCGGCATAAATAAGAAAAAACTTAAGAACACCGAATATCAAATTGGATTGCACGGATAGAAATGGAAAACATTTTTTTGTCCCAAATATGAACTGATTACGACTGCGCCTCTCCCCTAATTTATTGATGCACGCTCTTTCCTAATGTAGCCTTAATTTTCCTTCTTTTTCCCCGTGTAGAATCTTGCCGATCAGCGTTCCTGTCAACAGAGGCTGAAGAGTGAAGAAGATCCGCGCGAGAAGAACGATTATCAAAGTGGTGAGTATCCCTCCTCTTCCTTCTCTTTCGCATTGGGGTCACCCCGAGACACTCGAATTGGAGGAGCCCCTTTAACGAATCTTGCGACATTATCCAATATTGTATATAGAAGAGGCGATTGTTTATACCAAGGTCGTCTTTTGTGGCGACTTCCGGCCAATAGGGCCGTCACGCCTTTTGCTTCATTCAGTTAAGGCCTCGTTTACCGTCCGGGTTCAAAAAACGGGCTTTTAATGTTTGTGTTTTTTTTATTTCTTTTTGTAGCTTTGGACGGAACGCAAGAAGAGAACGCATCCGAATCGAAGACCACCACCGAAGATGTCATTGCTAAGTGAGTGTTCATATTTCAATTCTGTCGCGTAAAGCAATAGGTAAATATTTTAATTACAAATTTCGTATTCCAGATTGAAAAACTGTCGTTGTGGCCAATCCGTAGACATAGAAATGATTATGAACAGTTTAGAGAAAGCCAATCAGGTAAGAAAGTGCATTTCTTTTCTTTTACCGGTGGGTAAAAGAAAAGTCAGCGATTTTGATCGTGTATATACCTGGGCGGTTTGTCTTTAATTTGTAGCCGGAGGGGATAAACCAGGTGTGAAAGAAAAGCGCTTTCTCACCTCTCGAGAGATGTCCAACGTGCGTTCTCTACGTCATTACCAAAAGAAGCTATTTAGTAGTTTGCAGTTAAGAAAAAATTGCGGTAAAGCTTTTTACACACCTGTTATCACGTGACAACAGGTAACGTGTGACGATGTCGGCGCAGACTTTGTCGCGCCATAAAAACAAGATAAGTTGGACGATAAAATGACATTGGAAAACAAATAAAAGAGGATTATTATTCTGATAACACGAATTACGAGACAACCCACTAAAATAACGGGACATATTCGATTTTCGTTCATATAGCATCCCTGGAGAATTTAATATATAAATATTATTGCATTCCTTTTCGTAAGAGGAAGAGATCCATTTATGGAGCGCCAAGATACTGTACAATATTACAGTTTTTTTCTCCAAGCTAATTAAAGACAAGCATGATATTTAAGTATTCAAAGGCGGCATCTTGTCTTGTGAACTTAGGTCGGAATAATCACTTTAATATGAACCCCGCAGCAAAAATAATACGGCAGGCCTTTGTGGAAGACTTCGATTTCCCTTCGAATTATCGAAACCACGTGTTGCATCGACTGTTATTGCGAGGAAGCATTTGGCATCCGGGACTGGATTTGCTTACCCCTTGGCCTTACAGGTAGAAATAGTCCTGGCGGTACTACAATATAATAAGACTAAATCAAATTTGGGAATTTGAATAACATTTACATTTGGTAATTAAATTCTTGAATTAGTTGTACAAATTGATGATAATTGAAGTGAGAAATCAGTTTGTTGTTGCAGCTCTTCATTTCGGCTGCTATTTTCTGCGGCTTTATCGGTGGGGCGGCCCATAGGCTAAGTTAGGTCGGCGCAGCTCATTTCGATTCTGCGGATTCATCGGCATCGTGATTGTGATGGGCGTTGTCCGTGCTCATCTGATGGATGAGAGCGGGGGAGGTGCGAGACGTAGGAGCGGTGCATCATGGGAGGACAGTTGGGTGACGATGACTGATTAGAGCTTCGCAAAATGCTTAACCCGCACGTAAAAGGGGTTAGGCATAAATAGGCGTAACCAGTTTGTACTTGTCGCGATGGGAGCGACAGGTATTTCTCCCAATAATATCCAATTCGTATCTCGTTCCTTCCGAAATTTCCATAGATTAGTGTCGCTTTCTGTAGAATACATCGAGACTGGGGTCATCCGTTCGGGTCCTATCTGTCATTCGAATGTCACGCGGATATAAAACGTTTTCAAGTCACGTGACGTACTAGATGACAAATGGAAATTTCAAAAATTCTTGAAATTTCAGCCGAGAGAATCTTGCGGAAAGTATGTGGGACAAAAAATTATTTGCGGGTCCTATTTGTCATACGTAGTCACGTTCTCTCGGGCTTTGTCAAACGAAACCGCCAAGAATATTTTGGGAGTCGGCGACCACCGATAGAAGATTGGGTCTTTACCAAAGGGTCAATGGGGATTTTACCGAGAAAGCGGGATCCGAGTTTCATCAACCGCGTGCAAATCGGTCGATATCAGGCCCACTATTCATATAGTTCTTGGAAGTTGTTATATCAGCTGTTTGTGGGGAAGAAGAAAAAAACGTTAACGGGCTCTTTTGAAGTGGGACTGCCAGCTGTCTCGCAGATAGACCGCCATGATTGAAGAAACGTGAGACCCATTAAGGCTAACTAGTCGTAAGTCGGACATGGGAATGCCTGGCGGTGGAACCAATCGTTGCTCGAACGCTCTTTCACTCCCCTGTTCGGCGTTAAGTGCCACCATCTTAACGTCATTACTGTGTTGTTTATCGTCACGATGTTGGCCAGATGGCACTTATTTTGTGACGTCACTTCCCGTTCTGTAAACACTAAAGTGCCGCCCAATGAAACAAATGTGTTTTTTATGCCACGTCCGATGCAAAAATCAAAAACGCGGCCCGTCTTCCGCTCTCTTATAAAGCGGTTTGGCCGTGTGCCCTTGATCTTACCGGAGGGACTTTCGGAACTTCCCCGATGAGGTGGGATCGTTTTCGGGTGCTTTCGGGTATTCGGGCATTCACCTCCTCCCAGATGGCGCGCCCGAGGCTCCTCCCCATCTCATTCCAACACGCCGAATAATCACGAAGTAAGCGAGATATGACGAGATCGTGCAGGGTAACCATCCCTATCTGTTACTTCGAACGGACGTCTCAATTACCGGACGTCTTTGTCCTGTTAAGTATGGGAACGGTCGACGTTTGGAGGGGGAGAAAAGAACGACTACGGATCGGGTCAGAGTTCGAACCCGTCGGCAAAGCGACGAACCGAAAAGTGGAGATGAATGTCGGTGGTCCGGAAGAGCCTGGCAACCTAGTTTATCGTTCGGCCGCAGAACATCGTCTATCAGTCCAGAACACACATTCAGACAGGTTTGCACTTAATGGAGCGGAGAGGCGCAAACTCATCCGTTTTGTCCACCGAACGGTTAGAGTCAGAGATGTTGATCTTAATCCCTGTCTCCGTACTGGGGCGGAAAGCCACTTCTGTGAGCTTCGTCCTCCTTGTGTGTGTCTCGACTAAAGATCTTCGCCGGACAGAAAAGCAGGAGCAGTGGGCCGGAAAATTGCTAGACCAGTTCCTCCGCAACTCACTCCGCGTTCATTACGTCAGAGAAACCGTCGGACCGGCTTATCTCGGGACATTCAGACACACCAATACTATGCATAATGAACGCTCCAATTGCACTTTTCATAATTCCTACCCTTCCGATTGCCTTTATTTATGGGGATGGAGTTTGCAAGCACCCAAGTCATCTAGAAAGCCTCTCCGCGTTGGTAGATGACTGACTTGGTGGATCGGCGTCAATGCCTGTGCATTGATACATTAATTTTGGTATGCGGATGAATGGCGCGGAAAAATGCCACTCATTAGTAAAGTTGGCTCGCCATGTTTTCGCATCTGTAGCTTTGCCATGTAATTAGATAGCGGGCCGGGCGGGTCGAGTTCACTCCGGCCGGGGAGAGAGCGCGTTTCTTAAGATTCTTCCTCTTTTATCAGATTTCAGCTTTATTGAAGAAGTCGGAGTCGTTATTAATAGAACTGCACTTGCGAATAATTGGAGAAGTTCTCCACAGCTGCATATTTACTAACATTATTATCCTTATAATAGGCCCGCAATTTGTCAGACTCTCTTCTGAAAGGCCCCCGATACTGTTGATTTAGTGTACGATCGCGGATCTCGGTCGCCCAAACAAACTTAGTTCCCGGAAATGATGCGCCCTTCTCCTTCTCCCGCATCGCACACGGTGGCTTTTAGTAGACACTAATGAAAGACTTTAGTTAGAATTCGATCGAAATTGTTTTGACAATAAAAGCACATCTAATTACCGATTTTTCTCCTTTTATACACAAATTTAAAAATCTTAATATTGTCGAGACGTTGGACAAAGTCAGTTGGTTGCTTTAATCTGTTTTGATGTCTAATTCCTGATAAATATTCATTGTATCTTCTAAAGCAAAAATCAAAAAGAATCTTTTCTCTACTTTAAAATTTATTTATAATAATCGGGAAAAAAGTACAAACACATGCAAAACTACCACATTACAGCATGTCTTATCTACTAGTTATACGTGCGAAGGACTTTAAAATCTCTGGCAATTTCAAATACCGAATTACGTTTAGAATCTACTGTAGTGAATATTAGACTAATATTGATAGAATTTAATCTCGAGACCTTGGGTTAGCCATTTTTGTACAAGTTTAGCACCAGCGAACGAATCGCAAGGGGTAGGATTGCGAGCGGAAAAGGGTGGCCCGGTGGAAGAACGGAGGAAAAGCAGAGCCGGCATTTATCTGTTTACTGCAAGTTTTCAAAATTGTACCGTGGCAGAGGGAGAGGAACGTGCAGGCGACAAATCCACACAATATAAATTTAGGCTTAACAAGTAGTCTTAATAAGATTAGCGGTTGCTGTATGGCTCCGAATCATCGGAGCTGGTTGGAGGGAAGTAAAGCATCCGAGGACCAACGGAGTGGAGCTGCTATGTAGTAATCGTCATCAGGTATTGGTATGGATAAATGAGGCAATCTACGGAATGAGCAATTCGTAATTACAGAAGGGAGAAGTAACGGAGATGCTGTTCAGTCCCTTTTATTCGGCCAAATTAAGGCGTAATGTTTCGACGTAACGGTGGCTTTAGGGTAGGTAATTAACTATGCTATTTCTTGATTAGCTTCGTGTGTAGGCTAACGTCGACTAATGTAATTAGCATTCGACAAACGCTCGCCTTGTGGAAAAGGGGAGCTATATTCAATGTACAAACTGAACCAAACAAACAATTAGGTCGTCCAAATACGTGAGGCGTTAAACAGTCAGGAATCGAGGATTAATATTTTCCCTGTTAAATGTTAAATTTTACTCCATCTCCTGATTTTCTCGCTGGCAATTTTAAGTGCTTTCTGCTTCTTGTTTTACTCTCTTCCTTCGCGCCCTTTAAGAGTTTAATACCCTTTCTCCCCTTATATTTCTCACATACATTGCCGCGAATAGCGAGAAGCTACTCGGAATTTTAAATTTGAGATCCATCAGACTTTAAACTTCTTTCGTTCTTGGAATGGAAGTCGTTAATATTCTAATAAATGGCCATCTTTGATAATTAACCGAAGATAATTGACTTATTTTTAATCTCACCTCGGCCGTGCCTCATATTCATAATTCGACGGTGATATATCAATCGAAATTATCGCCCGATAAATAATATAGATAACTTATATTTATTGCAGCGATAAAAAGTTATTATTTCTGAATTACTATTGCCTATCGATTATCTTATCAATTCTTTTATTGCGGGATACCGTCAACTATTGTAAATCCAAGCATCCGGCGCCGTTCAACACCTGTATGCGGTGTAGTTGGCAACTGCTTTCTGCATTTGTATGCCGATCATCTCGACAAAAGACTTGCATCTGTATGCCGAGTCCTTCTACTCCATTAGATATTTGTCAAAGAAAAAATTCAATACGAACGGCAACCGCCAGTGATGATTGTGTCTTGGTCTACTCTTCGAAAATGAATATTTTTTGGGGTAACGGGGCGTGAGGCACAATGCTTTCGATGGAAATTGTTGGCGCAATTGTTCCGCAAATGGTTTATTTATGAGCAACTCCTGATCCATTATTCGAATTAGCTAGTCTATAATAATAATAACGTGATTTTAACGGCAAAATATTATCATAAATAAATATTTACGCGGATTGGGTGAATTGTAAGACAACCGAATAGGAGAAGAGGCTACTTTTCTTTTAAATAATCTGATATATCAGATACAACCTCGTGACCCATTCCCATTTTGTTCTAAATTGATGTTGCAGGTGTTTTTCTCGCTGGCAGAGAGTTTTTTATTTCTACAATACACAAATTGTCACACATCATAAACTAGGAGAGCTCGCACTACTTAGTTTCGTTTCTGTTCTAATCAATCTTTTACACCCTGGATGTTACACGGCAATGTTCCACACCCTTCACCTTAATAGCGCTTTACGGTTCTAAATTACCAGACTTTGTTTCGGACTAAGATAGGAGGCTGCTATTGTGATCCGTTGGTATCGCTAATGAAGCCATCCGGACACTTACGCATCATCCCGTTCAATTACTCCATTCCTGGCCATTAAAATCATCCATTTGACGTGTTGTAACTGTTTGCGTTCAACAATTGACAGCGTCTGCGTTCTATTATCTTGATCACGTATCTCTACTTGCGGACAAACCGCCATACGCAAGTTGTACAGACTCGATGATCGGCCGGCCGTATCGCAATAACTATGCATAGCGTTTTTTGTCTTGTTGGCGTTTTTTTTTCTTAGTTGTCTTGACAACCGCACTCTCCTCTTTTCAGGTGAGCGGCATAATGACTCCCTTTTTTTGACGTTTTGTCCGTCTACTACCGGAAATTGCCTCCCCCAAACAGTATAATGAAGGTGAAATATCTTTTTGTTAATCGGTCTATAACCGATAGTTAGGGTCGGAACCCCGATTAAAATTGATAGCACTTTTTTTTGAAAGTCTTTTTGGCTCTATCTACACGTATTAAAACAAGAGCAATATTATACGTGGAGGCCGGATCCAGAAGAGTACAGGGCGCTGGCGTCTTAATCGTCAATTATTGGCAATGGCCGAGGTTCGCCAATCGGCTAGTCACCTGTGGCGCACCAATCAGCCACATTCTCAGGCGCACAGTCGTCCTGCCGCACCACTGAACAGATTTTCCATCCTTTGCAGTCTTGGGATTAATTACACAGCGTTTCCTCTTTTCTCTCTCCACTCTTTCCGAGCAGCGAAAACTTTGGCTCTGAGTTAATAGTTATTACACAGCGTTATTAAGGTCCATAATGAATATTCATGAGGCAGCCGGCATGAAAGCCTACATAAATGCACCACGCATGAACTGCCGCAACAACAAGACACCGTGGTTGTTCTAAACAATGGCAAATTAAAACCCATTTGGTTATAATGGAGCAGAAACAGGCCCTGATTAATGATAATCTCGGCGAGGACGCCTCGTCTCCCCTCTTCACCGAGTCCGTCTCTCCCCCCTCGGCTCCCGATCGCTGGGCGAAGGGGGGCTACCGCCAGCCAGGGAAATTAATGACGCGTGCTGTGTCCCCGGTCGCCCCTTACCTCCAATCAGAGTGTTGTGACATCGGGGGGCCGGGGGACTGTGACGATTGCGCGATTCTGCCGACCGGAACGGTTAGCGACAATGGCGACGACTCTCTGGTCCGAGACGAACGGACGAGTAATTAGCGCCGCCTGGCGGATAGCACCAGAACTATCGGAGTCCCCCCGGGAAAGGACTTGTCGCTGCTTTAATTGTGAAAGATCTGTTAGCCAGAGGAGATTTGTCTCGACAAGGACCAACTTAAGAGGTGCCTATTTAACTCCGAGCCGATATCGCCGATTAAAGATCTCATAATACTTGTTTGCATTTACATTTTTACACGAAATCCAGCAATTAAGCTTTAAAAATGCACAATTGAATAAAATGTTAAAAACTTTAAAACTGGCCAATGTAAAGAGACAACTAAAATATTTACTGTAAAGTAGATAGATTAGCTGCTCCGTTCACGTTGTTAATGTTATTTATCACCGCCGTAAGAATAGGAAAACTTAAAAAATGTAATGGAATTTTTTAGGATGCGATCTTCAAGAGGAATTAGCGCAAATTTCTCTTGATCAGATGGTGTGCGGAGCAGTTGTGACGGGGAACCGATCCAAACTACGTAGATATACACAAATGAGTTAACGCAATCAAAATAATTTTGCCTGTTTTTACATGAATAAAAGAAAAGTGTTTCCGTGATGAGTTTTCGCTTCAATTCCTAAGGGATCAATATCCGGTCCCTAATGTATTTATTACGAGAAATAACGGTAAATATTTAAACACGAAAGCAGAAAATAATTAATTATAGATGCAAACAATATCCGGCCATTCGTCTCTAGGCGGCCTATAGGCTAAACACTGGTTGTTTTCGCTAGGATGGACTAAAAAAAATAAATAAAGCGTGGCATTCTCAGGTAGCCATCCAACCGGGCTTCTTACATGATTGATTAGAGTGCTTTGGAGGAGGAGCGCAACAAAAGAGTTTTCCTACTTCCAAATTTGCTCCCTCTTTATTAAGGGCGGTTATAATTGAGTCAAACACAACTTGGCATCGTCCCAGATAAGGTCATGACCCCTACCGTCGGACCCGAAGAGTTCGGAAAGTTGGCGTCTGTCGGGCGCCACTCCAGGGGACCGGAAGTCAACTACCGACGCTTCTGCTGGATGGGAACAAAAGGCTTATCGTGATCAATGGATATGACATCACGTGATGGATCACTGACGAGACTCGATGACGTCAGGTGGATGTCACGTCCGCCGTCTGCTGGAATTTGGGTTAGAATCTTTTAGCAAGTGGTCATCTTACTCTCTGTCATTGTGTAATCTCTTTAAAGATCCTAACCCGATCGGTAAGGCACCTTTCTCGGTCTGTTGAATTTCCCGCTTCTTTCCGCGGAGGGAGGGAAGATAGAAGCGTCTAGCAATTAGCATCGGTCGGGCGAGTCTACTGATCGCTCCACCCGTGCTAAAAAGGCTGATTAGTAAGGTTAATTAACCTGTCGATTGACCGAGCTACACCGCAATGACGTCATGATGCCTTTTCTTCCCGACAGAGGGCGACACAGGCCGAAAAGGAAGTAGCGCAGCTGAGAGAACAGCTGGCGGCCGCCAAGCACTCCCTTCAGCTAGCAGATCAGATCCAGAAAGCACCGGATATGGAACGGGCCGTCGACATCGTCACACGCTCATCGCTCCAGGTGGAGTTGTCTGCCAAGGAGAATGAGGTGAGTCAGTGGCGACATCTGGTGGCGGGTTTTGCAACTGGGCGGGTCTCCTTCAGGCGTTGCGGGCGGGAGGGTCGGGCAAAAGTGCTCCAACGACGCTAGCGCCGCCTGTTCGGTGTAATTAAAGCTGTCCTCTAGTTTTTTTTCCCCTTTCGACCGATCGCGCAGATAACGGAAAAAATAAAAAAATTTATGGGTCGTTACCGAAAAATTCACTTTACCCTCGTATTTAACGTAGAATTTTTTTCCGCAGATATCCCAATTGATGGAAGATATTCAGCAGCTTCAATCATCTCTCAACACTCTCAAGGAGACAAGTGCCTCCAAAGTAAGTGTCGACACCACTCTACTTTTCAGACAGAGCAACACGGCTACTTGCTACTTTAAAAACAAATTATTATTATTATTTTTTATTACATCTGAAAAAAAAAGTTTTCTCGACTTTCTTCATTCAATTTAATTATTTAATTTGTCTTTAACTTGGCAAAAAAACAGAAGACACAATCCCAATGTTTTCGCATAAAATAATATATATTTTTTTCTATTTCATTTCATTTGTTTTTAACATAAATGTGTATTGACGTGGCTTTAGCACAAAGGAATTTTTAGGTTGATTTTAAAGAAGGAAAAAGTTTTCCTTCGATGAAAGTAACTGCTGCGTTACCGACAAATTTTAGCGGTTCCTCCTATTATCTCGATGTTTATTTCGAACATCCTCTATTTTCGTTCGCTGACCGACTTAATTTTTTCCGGTGAATCCAACGTGGTGAGGATGTCAGTTCATAACGAGGAAACAGTCAACAACAACATAAGCGGCCAAAAAAGGACTGATTACTCCATCCGCCGAGCATAATAGGTCTTATTATTAATCCAGTATTGAATCAATTTTATCCGTGAATTCAAAAATAAATTAATTCTGATTAAAAGAAAAGGAAGAAGAAGAAGAAAAAAAAAAAAAAAGCGATGAAAATAGGAATTATTTTCGCTTTTTATGTTAAAATATTTTCCTAATCTCTGGATTTCGTTTACAGATTGCTCAACTTGAAGAACTCATGGGACAAAAGGACAAGGTGATCGACGAACTAGGAAGCAAGTTAATGAGGCAGCACGATTATGAGGATATCAAAAGAGAGTTGGGATTAATAAAATCTATGGAGTTGGGCAATCACCCGCCTTGGCCTACCTCTTATGGGGGAAGAGACAGCCCTCGAGATTCAAAACCTTCTATCAAGTCTCTGGAGATGTTGCTCCTGGCTAAATCAAAGGGGTTGAATTCAGAGGGAAAAATTTCAAAAGTGGACATTTCAGGTAAAATATTCATTTATTGCTTCTTCACAATTTTTTACGTAATTAACTGACGAATTACATACTTTTGTAATAAAAAAAATTAACTGCTTTAGAAAATGAGTAATAAAAGTTACTACGAAATAATCACGTTAGGAATATAATATAAACAAAATACAATGAGTTTTATATCATATTTTATTCACAATATTTGAAAAATCAAATGCAAAGTTCATAATCATTTTTAAGATTTCTTAAAGTGCTTTTAACACATTGAAAATTTGTCTTGAATTCTAAAAAATCCTGTTTTTTTATATTACATATCAAGAACTTTAAACTTTCTAGTTTAGTTTATAACAATAAAACTCTATAACTTCTATTTTCGTCCTAATTTAACAATACAAAATTTCCTTTCAAATATTCTGTTAAAGATAAATTATAGACTTATTCGTTTATACGTTTAAGGGAATACAATAATTTATATTTTTTGAGATACGATCGGAAAAATAAGTCTTTAAAATGAGTTTAAATTTTTCAAATAAAAATAAAGATTATTTATTAACGAATAAAGTCTGGATAGCGAATTTTACTTAAACTTTTTCTATGAAATTGGAATTATTTATCTAATTTATAAATTATTAAACGATTCTCTATTATTTTTTAAATAGATTATTCGCCAATGTATTTATAACCACAAAATGAATAAAATAAGAATAAGATGAAATTGGTTGTTGTTTCCAGGTTCTCCGAATCAAGCAGAGAGTCCCGGTTATACTCCTTTTCAAAGTTTGGATACGTTTAGCTCCCTTCTGGGGGAAGAGATAGCTTCGACGTATAACAAAACTCCGAAAAAAGAATGCGCACCTTGTCCGACTTCACCGGAAGTGAATGAAGAAAATAAGCCTTTCGACCCGAAGAAATCTTTACTCGATAGATGCCCGACATTAGAAAGACTACAGATCTGTTTGAGGCACAATATCGATAAATATGCCAACGAAACGTTGAACACCTTGAACATATCGCGCTGTGTTCGCGAATTGTTGAGTGTCCATAACATTGGACAACGCCTCTTTGCCAAATACATCTTAGGTCTGTCCCAAGGTACAGTCAGTGAACTTCTTTCTAAACCAAAGCCTTGGGATAAACTAACCGAGAAAGGAAGAGATTCTTATAGGAAAATGCACGCTTGGGCTATGGACGAAAATTGTATCTATATGCTGAAGGAGTTAGTGCCAAAAAAGGGTAAGATTTTATTATTTTACGCCAATGCTTAAAACACAACTCGTTTATCTTCATATATTTATCTCGCTCACCACAATAAAATAGCCTTATTTGAAGATTTACATCTGTATGAATTCGTTTCTTATCTTGTAATTAAAGATTACAAATACTTTTGTTATAACTTCAAATTTTGGTATATTAATTAAATAAAAATAGAAAATTTACTTTAACATAGAATTTAATTTAAGCAAATTGTTAAGTACCGTACTTTAAAATTTAGGCCTATTTCCAACTGTTTTCCTATCGGGAACTGATACAATTAGTTCCTAATTTCCAAAGCTTTAAACAATGACATCGGAGTATCAGCGTTATTTGGAATATTTTATTTGTTAAGTTGAATAAGAATTTTAAAAGTAATAATATTTAAATTTTAAAGATTTTTCCATCTTTAGGGAAAAAAATAACTCTAATATTTTACAATGAAGAACAACAACTCAACATTTACTTTATAACAATCGGATTGTTTATTCCTAATAAATAAATCTAAATATACATAAGCTTTCGTAATTAGTATTTATGTATAGTTAATAAAGAAACATTTACAAATAAAAAAATACATTAGTATGTAAATTTTGTTTATTTATTAATTGTATGTTGGTAGTATACAAATCAATAATAGAGATATTATTTATTTATATTAGAATTATAAGTCTTTAGGCTTACAAAATGTTTAAAAAACTACAGTTAATGATTGTGTATTTTTCCTGTAACTGTTATAGATTATATTAAATAGTTTCTTACAGAATTATTGATTCTGCTTAAGATTTAGATCAGCATTTTAATGAATAAAAGAACAAATAAGATTTTATGTTTAAGAGACTTCTAAGATGTTTAAGGGAATCTATGCATTATATTTTTATAAGTTAAATGATCTTTATTGTTAACAATTTCGTTTCAAGTTCTGAAAACTTTAATGTATTTTATTTTCTTTTCAGGTAAAGATTCTGGAATATCTTTGTACAAACAAGAAGACAACGGGGCTGACGAGAGAATTGCTCAAATTCTAACAGAAGCTCATATGGCTATGGGTGTTTGCAATAAAGACAACAAAAGTCCTCCATTACAAAATGGAAATGCCTCAGAAAAACTTTCCGACGAAGGTCAAGATCAAGATGGAGATTCTTCCACTAGCGATTTTTTGAGGAAAATGAGGAAATACGAAGCAGACGATATCCCTCAGGAAATGGTAGCCAAACTGTATCAGGAAGAATTAGCCAAATTGAGAAGTCACCGAATGTTGGACGAAAGTTATCGCCCACCGACCAGAGACCAATACGAAAGGACACAAGAAGAAATTCGTCAGGCCTTAAGCATTTATCACCAAGAATTATCACGGTTGTCGCAAATGACGCCCGCTTCTTCTCCCGGAGGTCCCAACGCTTTTCATCGTATAACGAGTTCTCTAATGCACGGTGCCATGGTAAATGGAACGGGACCTTGCGGAGGTTATAGTTCCCTTTCTCACGGTGCGAGCGAAGACGGTCCCATAGACGCTACGGTTCAGTCTAGAAACAAACAAGACAAATCGGAACAGGAATCGGATGGAGTTAGACACCACGGTAGTGCCTTCTCCCTCGTCAGACCGAAAACCGAACCGGGAACAGCCAAACAACCGGGTGTAGCCTGTTTGCACAACCCAAATCCAAACCCGACGGGCGGAGGGCCTCCGCTTCTACCTCTAGCGGATGTTCCTCCCGTTGCGGATGATCTTTCGAATTCTGCATCTCCTCTGCAGAGGATGCAATCCATTACAAACTCTTTGCTCTCTCAATCTTCATTGCCAAATCTTCCAACTCCTCCTCAGCGTCCATCGAAAGCTGTGCTCCCACCCATCACTCAGCAGCAGTTTGACCAGTATAACAATCTTAACACCGAGGAAATAGTAAAGAAGGTAAGATTAAGAATCTGCCAGATACCGCTACTTTCAAAGGATCTAATGATAGGTTTGATATAATTAGAATGCAAATCATTATTGAATTACAATATAATAAATATTAATGCAAAGATAAATCCGCCATTTATAACGGTGGCGTTATCTGGTGACCGTTTTCGTAACTAATCAATAAATATTTAAATACAAACGATCACGAATTGCGTTCGTATCAACTAACATTCGTGTTTTGGAGAATTTTCCGAATCGAAATGATTAATAACTAAATTGCATTAAAATGGAAAAAGAATAAAAGAAAAACTTTTTTTTTTCTACATTTAACTTATTAATTNATTAATGTACAAATTTTTAATGTAAGTATATATGTCAAATATAAGTTACAATAATGCGAGTGTTATGAGATTATAACTGACTGAAGCTTGAACAGATAATCGTTATAAAGAATCCACTGCTTATTACGTTTACTAGTAAGCATTTAATGTTTACTTTGTAATGTTAAAAAACAAAAAATTTAATAAACACGAAAAAGTGACGTATGCAACACGAACTGTATTTATAAAAACTATTCTGTTTTAAACTTAGTATTATTTAGTTGTAAATTGTACTAAATAAATTTTATGTAAATCAAGTATGAAATAAAAGTTTGAAAGTGCGCAAAAAAAAAGAAACTAGTAAGGCCTTAATGTAAAATTTCACTCATCTTTGCATTTTTCTAATATAGATAAAGGTTATTGAATCTGTTTAAGTTTATAATACAGTCATGAGCCTTACATTCTAGTTCTTGTAATTTTTATATCCCTCTTTACTTAAAAGATGCATATTATGTAATTATTATTTTATAAATTAATCAATTGTTCTACATTATAGTTAGATTCAATTCTGTTATCGAATGGTTGTTATAAAATAGCCAATGCTGGTTTTCGTCTGGTCGTTTAGTTATAAAAAGGACTTACCTATAACGGGAACGTACGAAAAACAGATCAAACAAATTTATTATTTGTGACACGACATAAATTAGTCCAAATAAACATTAGAATAAGTATAGATACAATTCAATTTCACATTAAGGTTATTTTATCATTTATGAAAATGAAGGAAAGAGTGTAAATATCGACCTTTTGCGGATAAAAAATCCTTCGGGCTTTCTGCAGATGTCATGAATTTCTTGCCTCAAGGTTGCATAAACTGAAGGTTAGCATCTGGCAATTTCTTTTCGTATCTTGTACGTTTCTTCAGACTTTGATAGTTGCAAAGGAATGCAGGAAGTAAAACACTACCATTGATAATCTACGACAATAATATCTTGCTTATTTAAAGCTTATTATTAATTGCCTTTCTCTCTTTTTGCTATCTAAATATTGGATCTAATCAAAAAATGAATATCTAATTAAAAACGTTTTAAAGTAAAACTGATGTTAAACTCTAACAAAAGCAATATTTCGACATTTAATTAATTATTCATTTTAGAGGAAATTTATCAGTTTATATTTAACGTTAAACAATTGTATAGATCACATACATGTATGAAAGGACTATCATTTAGTCTATTTGTTATTTGAATATTTTAAACGATGAAACAAAATAATAAAATCAGCTTTTTACACATACCGAATTTGCTGGAAGTCTGAATAACTGATTAACATGTTATTCAAATTTTTGGATCTTTTAATTTAGGCTATATTTTAAAGTCATTCTCCAAGATATACAGGTGTTATTAATAATATTTTATTAAAAAATTCTATTATCTGATATTGTTACTGTTCGATACTGTACCGTATATCGGCGTTTACTGTCCTAAAGAAACAAGTATTTAGGAATTCTTGATTAGAAATTGAAAAAAAAATGAGCCGTCCTGCAAAAAACAAGAATGTTGTTCATGAACCACGTGAATCAAGCTAGTTAGTTTTTGTGAAATGGGGAAGTAGCTCAGACACGTGCTGCCCTATCAGCGGGAGTACAAGTGAAGCGACGAACCCGCGACCCCATCACTTCACAGTAAACATGAATCATTTGCTCCTACGCACTATTCCAGTTCAGTTGTTGAGTTAAAATTACATCGTCCGTTCTTTCTTACGTTCTACGTGACATCAAGCGAGTTGGAAAAATAACTCAGTGTTTTTCCTATCCCATTTTAATTAGTGCATAAATTTCTGTTTAATTAAAATCTCTACATATTTCACGGCTCACTCTTCACAACTCGGAGCAGCAAAGCGGCACAATCCTCCTCACAATCGGGACTTTACACCACAACTTGTGGTAAATCATAATTCTGTGCTATTTCCAGGTGAAAGAGCAGTTGAGCCAGTATTCAATCAGCCAGAGATTATTCGGCGAAAGCGTACTTGGACTGAGTCAGGGTTCAGTTTCGGATTTGCTCGCTCGACCTAAGCCTTGGCACATGTTGACTCAAAAGGGGAGGGAACCCTTCATCCGGATGAAGATATTTCTGGAAGATGATAATGCAGTTCATCGACTGGTCGCATCTCAATATAAAATTGCTCCCGAGAAATTGATGAGGACAGGAAACTATGCGTGTTCAAACGTCCCGACAGGTGAGTCCGTTTAATAATCCTTATCGCACAAAGAAATTTATCCATCTCTAGAAAACTATTTATTAATGTTTTTTTCTATGGACGATGAGACTTTCTTTAGCATCATGAGATTAATTTTAAATCTGCCATTTAAAAATGTTTAATTCGTCAATCGAAATCTTTTATTTCGATTGGAAACATTTGTTCGTTTTTGGCACTTTAAACTTTGAAAGTATAAGATTAAACTATTGATTTTAAATACTTAGATAAGTATTTAAATTTATTTTAATTCTAGTTATTTTATATTTCCTTTTAAGATTTTATTCAATGTAATTAAAGTCAATATTTATGGAAATTATATCTGAGCTTTTTTATATTTTAATATTAGAAAGTGGTTTAATTCGATAAAACTTAAATGTTACTTTACATCAATTTATGAAAGAAGTTATTAATTTAAAGAATTATTTCTAGGCGTTACGAAATTAGCACCTCAAAGACAGCCAGAGAACAATTATCCCAGAACTCCAGATTGCCGTCAGGGTAGCGTATCCACTTATCCTCCACTTCAGGATGCACCTCGCTCCACATCTTCCACACCAGATGGTCCCACTCTTCCAGTTATGTCCACTAGTCCAACATCGAATGGGGCTGCGAGAAGATCAGCACTCAGTCCACGAACTTTAAACTATATGCAGCCTTCCGTCTACGAGATGGCCGCATTAACCACCGATTTAGATACTCAGACAGTGACGTCACGCATTAAAGAGGCTCTTATGGCACATAATATTGGGCAAAAAGTGGGTAAGATTACGGATCTTAAATTCTCTTAAAAATCGATGATTCACGTGTACTTTTTTTTTCATAGATTTTTGGCGAGGCAGTTCTTGGCTTGTCGCAAGGATCGGTGAGTGAACTCTTATCGAAGCCAAAACCTTGGCATATGCTCAGTATTAAGGGCAGAGAGCCTTTCATTCGGATGCAACTGTGGCTTAACGATCCCCACAATGTAGAAAAACTTCAACTTTTAAAAAATGAGAGGAGAGAAGGTGAGTTAAAATTGAAAAAACGCATACATCTTTTAGACACGTGTTAGATTTTTCTTTATTTATTTTAAATATTCATTTTAAAGTTACGGTTTTAAAATGGCAACTATCGAAAAAACGGAATTATTCGCATTTAATTTAAGACAGCCGATGTCAAAAAGTTAATTAATTATAGAGTCATGTTACAAATGGGAGCGAAATCAGCAGATGACTAATGCGTCGTAAAGTCCGAAAATGATTTCAAACTTTTATTTATATGCATATTTATTTATCTATTTACAGCTAACAAGCGCCGACGCAATAACAGTGAACCAGAAGTTCAGAGGTTGCCCATAGACAATCATGTATTTAACTTTGCCGCACCTCCATCACCATATCCACCGGTAAAGAAACCAAGGGTCCTCTTTTCGGATGAACAGAAAGAAGCGCTCCGACTCGCTTTCTCTCTGGATCCTTATCCCAGTACATCCACAATCGAATTTCTCGCCAACGAATTGAACTTGTCAGTCAGGACCATAACGAATTGGTTCCATAACCATAGAATGAGGATGAAGCAATACTCTTCTAACAGTGAAGATTCTAAACAGTCGGATGGATCTCTATCTGTTAGGGAAAGCGTGAACTTTGATCCCGTCCAGTTTCGCATCTTATTGAACCAGCGGCTGGCGGAAATGTGTCGAGATCAAGTGACTGGATACGGCAATGGTCTGCCCTACGTTTACTCACCTTTTCGAAATTGTTCACCTGTTTCTTCACACGGAGACGAACCCGCTACTTTAGATTTAAGTATGTCTGCTCATCATGCGGGACATTCGGATGTCGAAGGAGGAATATCGAAAGAAGGTCTCAGTTCAACGTCCAGTGACGATTCCAACTTCTCCGCTCAGGATCAAGGAGGCGAAGCCAGTGATCACGAAGTACCCCAAGTGGTTCAAGCATCTCTCTCAAGCAGTTCTAGTAGCAGTAAAAGGCGAAAACCGGCGGCTCCTCAATGGGTAGATCCTGGTCTGGAGATGTCGGGAGATAGCGACGTGTGTGGTGACGAAGAGGACGAGGAGGAGGAAGATAAAATCATCAACGGAGTATGCGTCCGTCAGACGGACGATTTCGGTATGCACATGGAACAGGATCACACAGTGCGAGTGGAGCCAGCACCGCCTCCAGCCTGCGATTACAGACAATCTGGGGACAGTACTGACACTGAAGTAGTAGAATCTCCCGACGAGAACGAGACTAGGACAGCCGAAGAAGAGGAGGAAGGTCGCTCCAGGACGGAAGAATGGAACGACGAAGAGAGGCAAACCAATATCGAGAAACTACAGCAAAAACTCGAGAAGCACGAGGAAGGAGTCGACTGGGAGTTTTGAAGCTCCTCCGTCTCGAAACCTGACATGAAGTTAGGGAGTCGTGTGTCCTGGCGGAAATTATCCATAATCCGTCTTGCGACCTGTGCCTACCTGAATTAGGCTTGAGCAGTCGGATCCAAGACGAAAACGGTGACTAATCCGAACAGTACTGTAAATAAGAAGTTACGATCAAAGCGAATATTTCAAGAGTTTAGGCAAATAAAAGCCTGAAGTCACCTCATTCTCCATTAATCGGAGCGTCTGCAGGAGAACTGGAGTCGCCTGAGCCTAAAACTATTTCTCCGCGTAGTTATTACTTCGACGCCTCATGTTTGTCTGTGGTTGATGGCGATAAGAGCCTTTAGGCATCTTGTACCCACCCCATTTACGTCCAGTTGCGAACACGTGACTCACCATTTCAGAACATGTTTGTGCACCCATTCCCATTCGATCATATCTTCGTTAGGTTTGTTACAGGACCTAAGGCAAACGCAAGTATCGTTCTTAAATAGTCACGTTAAAATGCCAAACCGACGCCTGAAGGACTCATTTGAATCTTGGGATGAACCAAGTTCCAGAAGAAACATTTGTTTACCATCGAACTTTATGTTTAGTGTTTTATTTAAAGTATTTATACATGTATAAACTCATTCGAATGGAATATACTGATAACTGCTTAGCAATAATTGCTAGACGCTAGAGGTGCCACAAAGTGGCCAAGATTGTACGAGTCGACGTCAGCCTAACGAAGAAGTCCGCCATATATTAAATCTTCATCTTGTCCTTCCAACTTTGATCTTAAGATAATGGCCCGCAATTTTCTCCGGAACGAAAAAATCCCGGCCGAATCCGCATTAGTTTTAAAGAATAATTATTGTTGAAAGTACCTGAAAAAGCAACGCAAAGGTGCATTCGAATGCGAGACGAAACACGCTCAAAATTTTACTCATAATTTCGACGGCGGAAATTAGAATAGACTTGAAAAGTCTTGACATTTGTTTGGCCCCGGACGCCAACAAAAGTCCGGGACTAAAAGGGAGAGGTGCAAAATCAGCAACCGTTGTTATGTAATCTGTGATAAGAGGATGCAAATGTGGGCATTAGCGAGGCGAATCTCTACCCTCAACGGTACCAGGAAGATCCGTATGGTATTCAGGGGTTCCCTTTTACGTACCCAGCTTCACGTGCAATCAATCTTATCCATGTTTGTTCCATTTCTGTATCCCTGTGTCCAACGGCTTCCACCTCATTGTCATTCTCTCTTTTGTGTTTTCGAAGAAAGGAAACACGACTTGTGCAGTAATGTTTGATATATTCGGATTATTAATAATCACTATTTTTACTCCATCGTTCTCAAATAATATTAATAACAATAATAAAGTTGGAATTCTCTCGAATGAGTTTCGAGTGGTTATTTTGTCTCCAGATAAATTGTCCGAAGAACCGCGTTCGGACACTTCTCCGTCAGAAAAAGCTTCACTTCTCTTAATTAGCGATTAAGAATTTAATTAGTAAAGCCAGAAAAATATTCGCGAAATGCAGAATTTACGCAGGGTCCGACGCTAAAGGACGAGCTGTCTGCAGCAAAATTGACTTCTCAATTTTGTGAAGCGCAGAGAGGTAAATTGTGAAGGGATGTTTTCTGGCGAAATTGCTGTTCACCGTTTGTGAAACACACGAGCTAATGAGCTAATTAAGAGTAATGTATGAGCACTATCAACGGACAAGGTGGAATAGAAAGGGGATAGACAGATTAACAGCTGGACACATCTTCGCTCTTCGGATTGTCTTCGTCGTTCAACTCCAAGTCATAAAAGTTTTCATTTTATGTCTTTCTGCTCTAGATTACTTTTGTCAAAACAAAAGGAACGCGCGCTTAAAGATACAAAATACGTAAAATGTCGTAATTATGAAAACAAAAGTTAAATTTATCGCTTTTTTCGAGGTTGGCCGGCGTAACTTTCTTTTTAATTCTCTCGTAATTATTCCGGAATTTTTTAATCGTTTCAATAAAATTTTAGCAATTCCACAAACTAAAGTTATTTTATAAATTGTTTAGGCCAAGCTCTTACGCTCGCGAATATTTAAAGAATAAATTCGAGCTCATTCCATTACCCAACTCTCTACAATAACATAATACAAACCATTTTATTTTTTAATGGCTTTGTATTCGATCTTCAAAAAATTATTATCCACTTATGTAAACTTTTCATTCGTTTTATACCAATACAATTACAGCAATTAATAGGATTTAATAAATATAATAAAGACATATTAAGTCTACTCTATCATTTTTTAAACATTTATAAAAATTTTTAAACACGTTTTACGCATTCATATCTTAAAAGTTACGTGTTTTTTTTAAATACGTTTTACGACGTTTAAATTGATAACATCCGGAAAAATACAATTAAAAAACTATAAAATTTAATTATCACATTTTATTTTAAGATTCATTTTTCGCGAATTATATTTATTTTAGCTTTAAATGCTTTTTTTTTTCTTTTATTAAATCTTTTAACAATATTAAATCAATACAGAAGAAATAATGCTCTAGGATGTCCACAACATTACGAAATTTCATATAAAACATATTTGGGATAAGAAAACTTCATAGAATGAAGACGTAAAAAGTTAAGGAAAAAAATTGCAAATTAAGAAAAAAAAAGATTATGCGTTTTAATTAATAAGTTAAGCTGTTATTAAACAAAGAATATCATTGTTCCAGATATTAAACAAAATACTTTCGCAGTTGGAAGTATCAATAAAATTAAAAGAAAAGTTTTAATCAAATAAAAGAAAAGGGGAAAAAACATAAAAAAGAGAAAAATTACCTCCAACGTGCATTTTTCAAGAAAATACATATTAAATTTTTTTTCTAACAAACTAGAAAGTTCTGTTTTGGTAAAAAAAAATATATATATATAAAAAGAATAATTCTTTTCAATTCCAACAAACCAAACATTTTAATCAACAAGAATCAAATTTGCATGCAAATGATTTGGTAAATAACAATCTTTGTTCCAAAATGGCTGACGGCATGCACGAAATAAACCAATAGGAGTAAGGCACGCGACTGGGCGTGGTTATAAAGGTAAAGCGACACCAGGCGTCACGAGCGACAGTAGCTTTCCCGAGCGGTTTGAAATAAAAAGTGAAAAGAGCGCCTCATGCGGCCGAAAAGTAAAACCGACGTAAAACTCTTTTTTTTTTTTTCGTCATTTTTTTTCGTAAAGTGCGGCGTTCATATTTACATCTGTCAAAGAGGATGGTCGTCCCCGAGCATGTCATTAATCAAGGAACTGTGACGCCAACCGTTTAACTTTCTTGATATTTGAACGTACTTTCGCTCGGATTGTTTTCGATTTGAGTGAAAAGGCGTGTTTCTCTTTAACGGCCGATTAGATGGCCGACTATCTCGTCTCGAAGAGGATAAAGGGGAAAGAAATCGCTAAATATTAATGCAAAGATAAATCCGCCATTTATAACGGTGGCGTTATCTGGTGACCGTTTTCGTAACTAATCAATAAATATTTAAATACAAACGATCACGAATTGCGTTCGTATCAACTAACATTCGTGTTTTGGAGAATTTTCCGAATCGAAATGATTAATAACTAAATTGCATTAAAATGGAAAAAGAATAAAAGAAAAACTTTTTTTTTTCTACATTTAACTTATTAATTTTTCAAATTTCCCCTATCATATTTCTTTCCCGTTAATTACAGAACACGGCCATACAAGATAATAATCGATTATTTATAATATATTCTAGTGTAATTCGAATTTAAAAACTTAAGATACTTAAAAACAATAATAATAATAAGCAGAATATTGTAGATTTTTTTTATATGATAAAAAAGCGAGGTGGAGCTTGACAAATTCGGAGATTGGAGTAGATAAGTTAAATTAGTGATTATTATTTGGCGCACGCCAGGATGATCCCCAAATTATATTCTCGTACGGGTTACGCGAACGGGTCTCCTACGTAATTCATTAATTGCGGAGAATTCTCGTTGACAAAAGACTTTTGTTAAACTAATTGCCAAAGACTCGCGATCCGGGACTGCTTCCATTTATCAATGCCGTTCGGCTCTCGCGGGACTCTAGCCAACAGCGGGACCACCTTAAAAATATGGAGCTGTACTAATCATCGCCGTCTTAAGTATTTTGTTTTTTTTTTTTTCTTTTGCCTAGCGTCTTAATCTGACTCGCTTTTACGGAGAACGACTGCTTTTAATTGAAGCGGGATATTGCTAACTTGTAATTAACAGATTCGAGTAAAAGTGAGATGCTCGTATGCGCCGCGGGGAGTCACTCGGATCGCTGACGTCATTAATCTTGACGTCGTCCTCCGATGATAGATGGGCCCGGCTTCGATATGATGCGCCCTTTGACGGTAGAGAAAGACGACGATTGTGGGTCATTTATAATATAGTGGGCTTCATTTTCTCGCTTAGTTGATGATGTTTTGCTGCATTGATTAGTAGTTGAAATGTGGGTTCGTGCACGCCCACACATGATTGTAATGCATCATTTGAATGGGGGTGAACTTTGTTCAACGCTTCACAAACTCATTTTAGCAACAAAACTTTTATTTCTTCCCTTAATTTGTCCTGAATTATAAGAGTTATTTAAAGTTAGTGTCAGATCCGTCTATTTCTCGGACGAAACGGGATGGATAACTGATATGTAATCAAGAAACTTACGTGTTTTTTCCTTTCTTGCTTATCTAAGAATCAAAAGAATCGTTTTCTAGTGTCATTTATTTATATTTTGTTTTGTTTTTTCTATGGCCAATCTAAAAACTGTCTTATTTATTCGAAAAGTTGCGAGTGGACAGAAATGAGAGCGAATGACATTTCTGGCTTAAGGAGTTCGAGAGGTCTATCCGAATTGATTATATACCTCTTGAATCCAAAAAACAAAATTTTCATGCCGAAAATTCCTCTTAGGCCATAGATTGTCATCATTTTATCTCCCACTTTAATCAACTTTACTGGAGATGTGGACGTGTTGGCCCGTTTCTGTTAAAGGAAAACAAAACACGAATTTTAAAAATAGAACAGAATATGTTTAAAGCGAAATTTTAAACATTACTGTTATATATCAGAAGTGAAAAATGCGATAAGGGAGAGAAATAGGCACGCAGTTCGGGTCTCGATGGACTTTAGTAGGGATCGCCTGGCCCTTACCTAATTTTCCATTCGTAGAAGTTCGATAAGTAACTCCGGTCACGCAACCCTAAGACAGAACCAATATTCGAACATGCCATTACCAACAGAATTCAAAATCGACTCGATAGCACTTCATCCAGATAACTGAACGGATGACGTAGCTTACCCAGAAGTATATCGTAGGCGAAGGAAGCGATACGAAAAAACCCTCCGAATTAGTCACGTGAATGCTGAATAATCTAAATATGTTTTAGTTAAATAATTTTTCGCACATGTCCGTGAGAAATTACGGATTCATGTATGCATTTTACTTCCTCCAAACCATTCGTTTTACTCCTTTCGAGTCACGCAACCTCAAAAATGCAGACAGAATATTCCAAAAAATTTAAATTTACCCAATTAAAAAAATTCTAACTTTCTTAATGATCATTATTCAAAAATATAACAAAAATTGAGAAAATACTTTTGAGGAAAGTTTCCGAATAATACAATTCTTTGTTTTTTTCCCTCTAAAATCATCTTTCATACTTCTCAAAGTGGAAGTAATTCTACAATAAAAATTTTAAAGCAGTTTTTGCGAAGAAAAAAACATAGAAAAAATAAATTATTGTTAATGTTTTTATGAGTAAAACCCAAGCAAAAACTCAAAGAAAGATGTTAATTAACTAAATGAGATTTTCTTAATCGATTAATCCCGATTAAGAACGGAGAATCTCAAGGTTTAGAAACGAGAAGATTGCGGAATAGGTAATTATATTGATATCTAAAGCGTTATTGGTTGGTTGATTTGTAGTTACGTCATACGAAATTGATATTCTTAACTAAAGACACACACCAATTGTAAACTGTGTTATTATCCACACGAAAATGGATTTAATATCATGTAAATGACGTCGCTAATAGCAACCAATGTCACGTGTCATGTGCAGTAACGATATTGATAACGTCATTTCCACTTTATGTGCAATAAATCTCCGACTAAATCCGAATTGAGAAAACACTTTCCTATTGGTCCAAATTTGAAAGGGAAGTAGTCAGACTGTGCAAATTTCGGCATTAATGTATTTATAGTTAAGAAAGAAGGAAAAGATTTCTATATTTTAATGCAAATTATACCTGTTTTGTTTTATTTACTTTACATGCGAGCTAATTTTAAGCAAAACGAACTGGCGCATAAAGGCTCCACGTTTTGTTTCTAGCCCAAACAATTTATCTATGATACACGTGGTGCCATCTGTTTTTGGAATGACGATTATTAGGGATAAGTTTGAGTGATTTAAAATTAAATATACAAATTATTTATTAACAATTCTTCATGTAAGTAAAATTTATAAATATAAATAAAATAAATTGCTATAATTAAGAAATTTCTAACGGTTTTGTACAAGTATCAGACATTAAATATGCAAAATTGTTGGAAAAATGCACATTTAATAAGAACTTTCAAGTCTGAAAAATGCCGTTAAATGAAGAATTATCCGGAAAAGGTATCGAGACAACAAATGAGAAAAGATTTCTTTTCAAAAGTAGCCGCAGCAAGAGCAAATATTTCCTTAAATTATGACCAAAATAATAAATTAATGGTTATAGGGTAATAAATAATTACCAAGTCCACCTGGCCAAGAGAGGCTATCTGTGGCGTCACCGGGCGGGTATCCCGTTTCGGGCCTGGCAATTAATATATAATTCGCAATTAATACTTCCAAACCGGAAAGTCAGTTGTGTAGAGGAGGGTGACGAAGACGTCAAAAGGTTCCATTGAAGGGTGAGATTGGCGAGCCACCTGTGTCGACTTGATTTACGAGCATTTCGGGCTCTACTGAGAGGGCGAATGGTCCAACGACGATTTATTGCACTCTTTTGATCTTCTAGCGGTAAAGTGTGAGTTTTCCGACCAATAAATCCAGCCGAGACTGACTGATGATGAAATTAAAGCGTGCGATCTAATGAGGTGTTCGTCTAGAGTTCGAGGGTCAACCGACAAAGGTCATCCTATGTCCGGGGGCTGCCACGCTCCGAAATCACGCCTGCATCGATATTTTTACTTTTTTGATAGGTTTCGATTAATTTTTCTGCACTATCAATTGAAGCGTGTAACTAGCAACCTTACCAATCGCCATTAAGCCTATATATTAGAATAAGGTAACGTTATACGAAAAGACAAAATTCCTTACCTGCAAATTTCCTCATTCAAAACGCCATCTAGTAACGAAAAACAGTATTACTCGTCCTTAAGTTAATAATCAAACATAAAACGAACAAAATAGACGGTAAGAGACCGAATCAGATAACAAGTAGTTGAAATACAAATGGGAATAAAACAGCGATAAGAAACAGAGAAGGGAACAAAAAAAAATTAATGTGGTTCCGCCCGGGATCGAACCGGGGACCTTTCGCGTGTAAAGCGAACGTGATAACCGCTACACTACGGAACCACGTGCAAACCTCCTTCTTTAATACATTAAAAAGAAAACCCATTATTAAATATTAATAAATTTTATATATAAATAAACGATTCAAATACTTTTTTTGTCTACATATATACAAATTGCATTATCGAATTATTCCGAAAGTCATTTGTGAATAAACTCATTTCACCACTAGATGGCTCCACATTCAAGCTGCATTTAAAAATAATATCAAATAATTCGTATTTTCAGAAAATTGCAAATAACAAGAAATTTTAAAATATTTACACCTTCGGCAAAAGTTATGAGAATAAGAAGAAATAAACAAAAAACAAAAACCTTGTGGTTCCGCCCGGGATCGAACCGGGGACCTTTCGCGTGTAAAGCGAACGTGATAACCGCTACACTACGGAACCACGATACCTCCCTTTTCCCTAAACATCATAATGAATAATCATGATCACTTTTATGCCTATTATGTTATTACATTAATTAAATTGCGAATTACATAGCACAATATACAAATTTCCTTCTTACAGCAAAAAATTCTCTTATTAATAACTAACAAAATAAATCGCAAACACTTGAAGTTGCACGTGTAATCACAGATGTTATCAGTCATTTAATGTAACCAGAAAGCCACCTCAAAACATATAAATTAGTAATAATAATCATTATTATAACTGTAATTATAATATTAAACTCGAATACCGTTAATGACAATAACTGTAATTAATAAATCTTCAAGCTATATACTTTTTAATTGTTATGACACGTCCTTTTAATGTCAGAGTCAATGAACCAGAATTTCCGTTAATTTTAGTCTTATTCACTTACCTCGTTTAGTTATCATTCTGTTATTCACCATCAGTATAGGCAAATCCCTACGTGATTACAATAAACGGTGTCTAGTGTATAAGACTACGTGATAATTTCTAGGAAAAAATCATTAATTACTAATAATATAAATCACATATAGCTTATTTCTTATGTTCTAAAATCTGTTTTAATATATTCGGCTTAAGTCTAAGAAAATTATGAAGTTCTTTACAATCAATTTCAGTATTAACTTTTGTGATTACCAATGACTTTAAATTAATGTTGTTACCGATGATTGTGCCTTTACTGGAATCCGTATTCTGTGAATAAGTTTCCATTTCTTCTCAGTAAGGTAACGCAAGTTCGACGATCTACACCATTTTTTTATGTTTCAAGTTATTGCTTTTAACGTTAAAATAACTCAAGATGTCAATTCTACGATTTTTTAAGGTTCCATTCATTTAAGTTTTCATAATCTATACTAATATTATAAAGAGGTAATGTTTGTATGTATGTATGTTAGTTTGTATGCAGCAGGTAATCTCCGAAACTACTCATCTGATTTCAAAAATTCTTTCACCAATATTTAGAATGGAACTTCAGGGTGGACACAGGCTATATATTATTCCGTTAAACATGGGGGATGGACAGTTCTTTATGGTAAGCCTTACGGAAAAGGTTACCGCAAAGAACTCTGCTTCTATTTATACCATTTTAGATGCAGTTTTTTTCCGTTTTTGATTGCGTTTTAATAGAGTACGTCAACAGAATGTACACTAAGAAGGGATTTTTTGATATTCCCCCCGCGGGGGAGAGAGACAGGATTAAGGCTTACTCTGAAAAACTTGGCTTCTATTATACTATTTTAGATGCGGGTTTTTGCGTTTTTGATTGCGTTTTAATAGGGTACGTCAACAGAATGTACACTAAGAAAAAATTTTTCGAAAAATTTTCCCCCACTGGGGAAGTGTTATACATTTATAATAGATACATTTTGAACCACAACAAGGCGTGGCGGGGTCTGCTAGTGTTTACAATAAATATGTTACTTATTTCAGAAAATAATTTAATGTCATTGTTAACATCAAAGAAATGACTTTTTGCAACATATTTCTTAATGGCTTATAGTACAGTACTTTTCGATGAGCAATTCAATTAATTAATATTTTCAAATTATAGTCCGATTATTTACGGCAATCGTGTCTATTTGCTAAGCATCAGGTTTCTGTAGATGTTTATAAATCTGTATTTACAAATATTTTTGTATACTGTACACAAAAAATTCATCTGTATACATAAGAGTCAAGGCATCAACTTGCCAGCACAAATGGTTCATATATCCAAACAGTTCTATAGTTGCGCTTATCCCGAGAACAAACTGACTTCGTACACCAAGGAAATCTGTTAACTATGCTCTCGAAATATTGCATATAATCTATTACCATAATGAAACAGCAAAGAGTACCAATGGTTTCGCTGCTCCACTGAAAAAGATGTTACAATTGTTATAGTTTACATCCCAAATACAGAGACTGCACCTCTGTAATTGATGGCCGATCTGCTTTTCCTTACCTAGTTTATACTCCAAACGACTTTTCAAGCTTTAACTGAAATAAAAATAATGCCTTGGTATTTGTGTGTGCAGCTCCACTTGATGGGAGAGTTGTAGAGATTTATACAAGGTGTTGAGTTTTGTATCATTTGGAGAAAAGTGTAGCCACGGGTTTTGAACTTTAAAGAAAAGTTTTTTTCATGTATCTCCAGTTTGCAATTTAGTAAGAGCTTCCTTTTACTAAATTAGTATATATACCAATACGGTTGTGTTTTCCGCTTGGCACGCAACAGCAACATCGAAAGCTTATACCACGCTAGAGATGAGAGATATTCAACAGTAAAGAATTTATGGCAATATTTCACAAAAAAACGATAGCATTCCACCCTATAAAAAAATTTCTGTACTGGTTTTTCAATTGTTGTCACACGAACGGAATATAGTTATTCGTTTTCTAAGCCAAAAAGTAAACTATTTTTGTGAGGTAAGTTGGACAATTCACTTTTAATAGTGGTTTATATTGCTGGGATGCCATATATTATCACAGTCATCGTATCCACCCGTTTCTGAAACTCTTAACTAATGAATTCAACAAATTAAAGAGTGCACCACCCTCTGTACTTTTCTCAGGATCCATCCTGAGAAAAGTACAGAGTTTGGAAGTAATATTGCTTCTCACAGAGCCATGCCTTATAGTTCGTCTCCCATGTAAACTTGGCCAAAATGAAATGTTGGCCATGCTTACATGGAATCTTTAAAAAACGCAAAGATTTTTGCCCATAACCCAGAGTAAGCTGCATGGACGTATTTAGGAGTGTGCTTATGGTGCTGCAACACCCAATGATACCAAAGCAATCAGTTTTGTTTCTTTAAAATAAAATAAACACAGTACCAGACAATTATCTTACAAGCTTGGGACCAGAAGTGATTCGGATTTCTGGGTTTTCCGGTTTCTGGACACGAGCTAAATACGATGTCTGTCCGAAAAGTTCGCAAACTTTTTAAATTACTCATCAACCGATAATTGAATCTGAATGCACAGCTCTCTAGCAGCAACTTTTGGGTACTATCTGCTGAAAATAGTTTGTTCTATCTTCATTTGTGTTACATTCATTTCTGTAAACACGTGTTGATTGCGTTTTGTGATTTTCTTCCAGTGAGTGAAGAGCTTCTGAAACGGGACAGGTCTGATGACAATTTCATAAAAAACATCATCACTAGGGATGAGACATGGGTCATGGGTACGACATAGACAAGAAAGTCAGTCACCAGAGTAGGTGAGAAAAAAGGTTCAACGAGTTTGGTCAAATGTGAAGGAAATCACTGCTATTTTCGATTCTGAAACTGTCATTAACCATGAATACTATCTGGAGGCGATGAAAAGATTTCATAAAGCAGTAAGGAAGAAAATACTGACTGCTTAGAGAGAACATCATCTAGACAATGTACCTGCTCACATCTCACTGTTGATAACAGAATCTTTGGCCAAGGACGGCAGGATGGCCGAGCGGTCAAGGTGGTAACCTACTATTCTGGTGGGACCTGGGATCGAATCCGGACTGGTCGAAAGATCTCCAGGAATTTTTCATCGGTGGTCTGGTATATCGGGACCCGTCCCTCATCACCCGGTCGCCCCATTGTGGGCCTGGCCGAACCCATAATATAAAACCTAAAAAGAGGCCCTCTTAGTTCCCACAGGGCAGAAACAGTTAAAAAAAATCTTTGGTTATGAACTCGACGCCACTTATTCCTCAACCTCCATATTCACCGGACTAAGCCCCAGCATCCTTACTTTTGTTTCCCAAATTAAAATTAAGTTTTGAATCCATTGACACCATATAAGAAAATTCGCCAGCAGAGCTGTGCATCGTCTCAATAGAAACATTTCAAGAAGCGTTGTTTTCATTGCAGAAACACATCAGTGCATAGACTGAGGAGGAAACCAGTTCGAAAACAACAAAACCGACTAGCTTCTACGTAAATGCAAACAACTTCTATTTGAAACTTTCCGGACAGACCTCGTATATACAAAATAATCAACGGTACGTAAAGAATGAAATTGTGTTTAACAGATACAAATTAATACACTTCTAAAGCAAGGTCTATATAATCATTTTTAAGGTCCTCTTAAATTATAAAATATCATATATAGTGCACTATTTATAGAAGTGAAGAATACAATGGAACTGGTGTCGCGTGACATGTCCATCACGAAATCCAAACTAAAGTGGCGAATTTCAACTGTGCTACAGCTGGCCAAATTCAAAACCTGCTACTTTCAAAAATAGCCGGTTTTCTGGTAATTACGAATTTCTGGAGGCCGGATATATATATTTGATACTTTATATTAATGCACATCGCATGATTTGGAAGAAAGTAATCTTACACAAACATAAAAATGCAAAAATATTTTAGGGTCATTCGTAATAGTATCAAATGTTTGAATAATATTTGAACTTTGAAGTTATTTTTTAATTATGACATTCATAAAAACTATTATTTTCCGCTCCAATTTGTTTTTAGTGCGCTTTTTTCTACGAGTGTATTTAATACATATGATTGTTGTTCCACATTAGAATTCCTTAGAAATGGTCGCGTTTGTTAATACTGTATAACAAAATAGAAAAGAAAATCTACTGATTTTGATATGCCTTAG